TCGCTTGTTGCCGACGAAAGAAAGAAAGAGGAGTTTTAATTTCCCAAAATTTTATTAAAAAAGTGATTCTGCCAAAAGAAACGTTATTGGAAAGATGAAATCTTGCCGCAGGCAGTGCAGCTGGCTGTAATCTCAAGCTGTATCCCAACAAGAAAGCTTTTTTTGCGATATTAAATATGTAGGGCTTTTTCCGCAATACGTTTAGAAGAACTTGACAAACAACCTTTACTTAAAACTATTTGTAAAAGTAATTTAAGGAGGCTGATTCTTGAAAATTTTTGCTGTATCATTTATGTGCTCTGTAGCTTGGTAGTTACAAACTTGTCCCTGCCTCTCTTTTCCCATCAGAAGTAAAAATAAAAAAAAACACAAAAAACACCTTTAATCAAGCTTTTAAAATTTAGAAGCTCTACTAGCAAAATTGTTTCCTTCAATGTTTGTACAGCTATTTTATTAATAATCCCTAACAGACTTCCTACCATTTTAACAACAAATACTTAGTGGCTATGCAGAAAAAATAAACAACAGTTAATTTAATAAAAGATGTCTAATACCAGAATCTCTAAGGTTAGATGAGGAATCAGAGATTTCATTGGAGGCACACTAGAACTGGATGCCAGACGGGGCTAAAGATGGAGCTTTTTTACTTGCGATCTCTGCTAGTGAGAGGCAGGGGTGGACCCAGTTGTAGAGGGACTCGGCTGGAGGTGAGGCGGGCTGCGGACACCTGAAACAAAGCAGAGAGGTGACTCCAAAAGCCGAGTCAAAACTGTGACCAGTGTTGTTATAAGACCAAACAGAGAAGATCATCCCATCAGCGGAGCTTTCCCCGAGTCTAGTAATTCCACCCTGGAAAATGGTGATGCTTTGAAAAGCAGACAGCGTTTTTGTGACAGTGAATGGTCAAGCACGGGAGTGCTGCCTTTTTGTTATAATTTCTTTGGTATTGTGGTAGGTCCCCTGTTGTACAAAGTGCTCTGCTATATTTTAATGCTAAACATTTGATAATTAAAAATGCAAAGTGAAAAGTGGGGTTTTTTTCCAAGCTCAGTAATATCCTTCAAAGCTCTTTTACTAAATGCTATTAAAGGTCACCACAGAATCGTACCATTAAAGGTTGCTCCATCGACAGAGTGTAGGTTGTTTTGTGCTCTGTTCTGTATTACAGCACATGTATATGGAACATATGGGCATTATCCAACATACACCATGTCTAAACACTGATGTTCGTTTTAAAGGAATTCCTATAATTGTGAGTTAAACCTGTATTCACACCAGTGATCGGTCACTATTCTCTCAGAGTAATTTCCAGCCTGGGAAACCAACCTTTTGTAGCATACCAGCAGTTTGCCAAAGCTGTATTCTTTTAGTTACATCTAGGTCCCTAACTGGAGGAACACTGGATGCTCTAGGCCTGCCTCATTCTCTCCAGTGAATTAGTTCAATATATATATGAGGGGAACACGTGAAAAGGAACTATGACTGCATTAAGTGTTCACTGTTCATCAGTAGGCAGGGTGCTGTAGATAAATATCCCCAGCTAAATTAACAAGTCTTGTACACATTTCATTTTTTTTAACAGGCCTCTCAGTCTGGCATTAGATCATCAAGGGAGAGATCTCAAAAAGAACAGTCATCTCTCTCGCAGAGCTATTACAAATAATAACAGCCTCTTGACTGCTCTGGCACCAGAAAAGCTCACATTCATTAAAGGAGAGAAATACAGAGTGAAACCCAGCTCCTGCATATGGCCAGTGAGTATATGAAGTACCTGGCAGATGGTGTTTACAAAGAGGAGGGCTCACACTGTCCTCCCACAGTCGTGTTGCTGTCTGGGGCTAGGTCAGTCCCTCGGGCAGGGCACGGAGGTCTGAGGTAGATTCACTTGCCAAAAGAACCATCATTCTTAACATGTTTATCTGGGGGTTTACAATGCGATTGCTTGTTCCGGTAGGTTTCAAAGCTGATCTGCTCCCCTTTCCTTAAGGCAGTTCATTTTGATTCTAAATTTAACAGGTTGACTTTTATTGACCAAAAAAGACTGCAGATATTTAGGACCCCTTACCTGTTGTTTAATCTATTGTGAAATCAAAGTTAATTTCTGAAGTAAGGGCCTTAAAAGCACTCAGCTGAAGGTTGCCACTGACAGTTTAATTGCTGAGCCGTGTCTGGTAATCTCACGATTAGTTTATGATATTTACCAGTGATGCAGTCCAGCAGCAGCTCTGCTTGAACTTGCACAGATGCAGTAGTTGGATCAAAACAATAAATCTCCTGAATCAAATTGTCATCGAGTTTCTGCAATGCAGAGAACAGAAAGAGTCAGGTAGCAGTGAAAAACTTAAGAGAAGGTTAGAGAATTACAGATGGCTAAGTCAAGCATATAGGAAATCTGTAGGTAATTAATTATTTCACTGCTAATTCCTCCTGTGGCAAATTCCACTGTATCTTCTTGGGGGAGGAAGAACAGAAAACAAAGTCTCAATATTTTGAAGTCTCACCAGTATACACTGACTCCAGTTCTCAGTCTTCTCTGAGCCCTTCCAGTCTGGATGGAAAAGCAACAGCACAGCCTTAACTATGTTATGTACCAGAGCTGGCGGTTCTGCATAGCTTTTTATTTCAGCAAAGCTCTTAGCATCAAGTTTCTGGACACACTCGCGCAGGTCCTGCAGCATGAACCGGTGGAACAGAATCCCGGCATGCCTCAAATGTGCCATGCGTTCTGCCTCTGGAATCAAAAGCAAACCTTTCAAAAAGTTTCTCAGAAACAACTGCTGCTCAAGACTTACATTATTGATTGAAAGGCTCTGCCCTCTTTATGATTAACTCTTTGTCTCCTTGACTAAGTGATTGATTAGTATACAGCCCAAGTATCCTATGAAACTTTTGAAAATGGGTATGTGCTTGAGAAGGGGACAAAACTTGCCTCAGGGGCAAGCAGGGGTCCTGAGACCATGAAGGGTTCAGGCATGCAGGTGATTGTGGAACTGTGACATTCAAATTCTTTTGACCTTAGTTGGAGCAGTTCTGAGGAAACGTGCAAGATCTCTGATACAGTAAAGCACCTTGCTTCATGGGAATTGCGCATAAAATATCCTGTGAACCAGAGTCAAAAGCTAAACATTCTGTTTAAGTGTACTGTGCTAAGCACTTAGGCTTGCTCAAGAGTAGTTCATGTGTAGTAAAGATTTGTATTTGTCTTTCCATACTTGTAAGACTAATACTTTAGATGTGGTTTTACTGAAATTCCTAATTCCCCCCTAAAAAACCTATCTTGGCTCTGTATGCACAATACCCAGTACATAGGTTGGTTCTGTTTCCTCTAAAGACATCTTCAGTATCTCAGAGCAGGCAGCTTGGGCCATCTTTAGCATTTTTTGTAGGTCTTTGTGTTCATGAGGTGGTAACTTCTGCTGGTGCCCGATGCTGATATCAAATATCCCAAGAGCTTGTCCTGATAGGTCACGGAGAGGTACTGCAGTGTGGTATTCTCCACAGACAGAAGTGCAAATGACCTCTGAACTGTCTATGCACTTAAATAAGTAAATTCTGAAATGAGAGTAAGGAGAGGAAAATGTACTGGACTTTACCATTCTGGTTTCTTTTGGTAATCTATTTAGCATATTTTAGTAAGATGCCATTCATCTCTTGTTGTTAAAACAAAGGTACTACGTTACTAAATCATTGTTTATTTCCTTGAACTGAAATACATACAGCTTTAAGTATCATTCAAGCCATATACAAAAAGGAGAAAATAGCATTGTGGAACACAATATTGCTTAGCCAGGGCAATTGCTGAAAATAATAAGAATTTAACAAACCCAAATTAGGTTGTAGTCTTGCTTTAAAAGCAGTTTCCTGTTCATAACCATGTTGATATTTGTTCTATAGAGTTTTATAAAAAGTAAAAACATCTGCTGGAACAGCAAATGGCTGTTCAACCAACTTTGACAACAAGGACAATACGCTTAAAAGACAAGTGTGTGAGGATCTTGGCAGTGGAAGGAAACAGATAGTTGAAGGAAATTAGACTAATATGGCCAGGGAAAAAGACAGATTATTCTAAAGAGCAGAATGCTTCAGTGTAGGCCCTAATCCCGCAAACATTTCACAGCAGATGTAGAGCTTGCTTGGCAGCTCAGCTGGTGAGCATTAAGTTGGAAGTTAAGTTTTTGCAGGCCTAAACTCAAAGAGAAAATACTCCTCATGCCTTCATAATTCAGTATCACATGCATACGCACCAGAAGCCTTGATAGTGAGAGCTACAGCCAGACACTCTTGCAGCGTTACCCATGTAACATGGGTCATGTCTGATGCAGGCTAGAGTCTAGGACCAGAGCTAACTAGTTCGACTGCAGGTGCTGGAGCCTACCTTAAGAGGTTTTCTTTTCTGAGGAGAAGAACAGGAGAGCTATGAATTTCTTTTTGTCCTGTATTATCTGTAGTAATCACCTTGCGCAGAGCGTAGTCACACGTCTGCCAGAGAGAAAAGGGAGGTTTAAGCTGCATCCAAGAAAGGAACAGCCATTTTGAAGCTTGGAGAGGGAGGAAATTGTTTCTTTCTTAAAGGAAACTCCTATGTACATTCAAGTGCAATGGGATGGCTTAAAGACATCTCCCAACAATGCTTGGTTTTATTCCCGGAGTGTGTTGCTCAAGATGCATGAAGAATGTGCCTTGGACCTCCCTCAGCCAGACTATTTAATCCACCCCCGGGCTCCACACTGAGGAACACCCACAGGCCAGGAAGAGGTTTCCCTTCTTTTTCCCATCCCCTTGCAGTCCTCTTTCTCATGTCATGTTTGTGTCAGTGTGCCTTGACACGTGAAGGGCACGGAGGGGAGTGAACGACCTGGCTATCAGGCAGCTAACAAGGGAACAGAGCAGAGCCTGGAATGACAACAGAAAGCTGCCAACATAAACCATGCTTATCAGAGGAAGCAGCTGAATTATGGCTACAGCAGATGTCATACAGACTTTGTGATGACACAGGATCAGTCCTAAATATTGCATACACTTTTCATCTTCTTAACTTACTTGTATATGAAGTGACAAGCTTCCCAGGGCCCAAGTGCCTGCTCAAAACTGGAATATGATCTGCAGGGAGGGGAATATGATCTGCCTTTACAAGCTAGCTAATGGGAAGCAGCCACTTCCTGAGTTGCATTTACGTCTTGGCTGCTGACATTAGTTCAGAATGAAGAGCTAACACATTAGCTAGGACATTCTTTTTTCCTATAAAATACCTAATTTTGATATGCGCAAAATCTCCACAGAAGAGCATCTCCCTTTGTGGAGGTCCCAAACAGCAAAGCTTTAGCAGGGACTTGCAGTGTCGGCTAACCCATGGATGGACAGATGGATAGGTGTGGGGTTTTGCTCTGTCGGTTGCTATGCAGCTGTGAGCATTGAAGCAGGAGAATATTCCCTTTTCCCATGGAGAAGGGACTATAGTAGCAGTGCTCTTGAATTGTTTTACGTGGGAGGATGAAAAGAATGAAGAGTGGCCTCCTTTACAGAGGGAACCTTCCCTCTCTACCCTTGCAGACCTTTTGTTGCACAGGCAGGCACGAGAATCTCAGGCAGGCTTCAGTTTTTGTGATAAACCCACTGGGAAATCACAGGCAGCTAGCAATGGCCCAACCTCGCTAAAGTAGCCTTGTCAGCCTCTGACTATTACAGGCCTTTTCACTGCAGTAATCTCTGTACCTTGTCTTTGCCAGGCTCCACCAGGTATGTAATCACAGTGCGGATGCTGGGTGCCCTGGGATACAACCAGTCCAGAGCAGTAACAGTCATTTGTAGAATATTTTCCAGTCTGCAGACGTGGTGGTAGGCTTTGCTGAACGCCTGAGAAACTCCCTGTGAAAGCAGAATCCTCCAGATGAGCCAGATGGTTCCATATGATTTAGGGAAAAAGCCAGGGAAACTTTCACGCAGCAAAATGAAGCAAAATGGTTGTAACAAGTTACTTTAATCAGAACTTGTAAAGCTGAAAAGTGACTGTGAAATGTCCCTTATCAAATAATGCTCTAAAGCTCCAGAGTACCCAGGTCACAGCCAAGCCCTAAACTAGACGAAGTTGGTTTTTAGTGGAGATGGCCAAATTGAGTGGTAATGTTGGCTTGCTGCGCTCCCTGCTGCCCAGATGACGCATCCACAATGAGGCCGATTTTAAAGAGCATCCCAAAGAAATCCGGACTGCTGTTGCTTATAAGTAGTCCACCGTGTAAAATGTAAGTCTTCATGGCACTTTATGGAAACAAACGTAAATATGAGGTTCAGAGCTTCAGCTACTATACAAAATAGTATTGATACTATAGTATCTGTATAGTATAGACACTATAAAAGCTACTATCTTGGGGCTTTGCGCAAAAGTGCAATTAATTTACTAGTCAGGAGAAACTTAAATACATTATTGATGAAGTGATACCTCATAATCGGTTACAGATAAGATGCTAATCAGTAAGGTACCGATAAGGTGTTCTGCTCACACCGCTTTCGCCATATACAGTAAAAAGGGGCCCACAGGTCTTTTCTTAGTTGTACATCTTACGTTTACTCAGAACGAACATGTAAAATTCACATGGTCCACGGCTTTTTGAAGAGTAGTCTAACAAACTGCTTTCTGATGGTGCTTACCTGATAGAAACTGATCTCATGGGTCAGAAAGATGGTCTTCTCACGCTCATCCCGAAGTGTGTCAAGTCCTAGAACGCCAAAGACTTTCCAGCGAGCGTACAGTACCAGGAGTGAACCTCTTCTCTCCTCCACTGGGCGGTCATAGTTCCAGAAGTGGATATTTCCATGGAGCTGAACTCTTGGAACATGGATTGGCTTTCCCTCTTCAACAGCTGCAAAGCTGCAAAATAAACTTATGAGGAGGTTTGTTCAGAGTAGCAGAAAACCTTTAGCAAAGCAATAAATACTGCAGCTTTGATCTCTCCCTGCTTTTTGGCATCAGAGAAGGAAAGCGTTAGCTCCTTATTCTGACCACACCCAGAAATACCACATTTACCACTTGCATCCCAAAGACAGTGGTAATAAATAAGGCACTTTTCATCCTTAGGACATTTTAAAAACATCAACTAATGAATGTAATGAAAGGGAATACAGAAGCGAGCAGCAGTTACATTTAATAGGTTAGAAGAAGCAATATTTAAAGAAAGAGGGAAATATGTCTAGCTTTTGCAAATGAGAAATAAAGAGGCATGAAAGCTGTTTATAGTGTAAACACTAGGGAAGGAAAGGCATTGTTCTCAAAAAATATCCTGTGGATGTAAACTGGTGTAAGGGAATTAATTTTTAAAGAAGAAGATGTAGGCCCAATATAATAGACTTTTGCTAAAGGATGAGATTTATTAGACTGTGAGCTAATCTCCCCAAGGAAAGGAGTGAAATCCCAAACAGAGCAGTTCTAAGTAGACCATGCAAAGTATAAGGGCATGTATACAATAATGAATCATTCCACAATGGTCCCTGAGGGGATTCCCTCTATCAAGCTCTGTTTCCAGTGCACCCCAAACACTGCCTGGTACCCCGGCATTCCAAATATTTTTGAGAAAAAGGAACAGTTATTTGCAGCTTTTCTTACCTTACTCCTTTCATGTCTCTGTAAAGTATCTGATTTAGAACATATGGAGCATCATCTGCGGTGCATGCCACATAGCGTAGGAGAATCTGTCCCCGCTCTGGTGAGCGCTGGTTCTCTTCCAAAAGGGCAATATATGCACTGATCTTCTTGTTATCCCCGTGGGCTTCTGCATCCTAGCAACCAAATGTTTCCCATTACATTATGTACATTAGCCATTGGCCATTACACTTATTTCATGTACTTAGCACTTGTCTCATTTTCTGCTGAGATACTGTTCTGGGTCACTGATTTTGTATGTCATGCACCAACTACATGACATGTATGTGTCTATGCTGTGATCGCGTCTGACTGCTATGCTCTGTTACAAGCAAAAACACTTGGTATTTTGCTTGGCAGGGAAAATGGATTTCTTTTTTCCTGCAGCTGATGGGGAGAAATTAATATAAAAATAATCCCTAATTATGACCTGTGCCTAACTCAGGTTATAACCTAAGTGTGTGTATGTATATATATGTAAAAAAACCTATATAACCTAAGCAAAACTCCTATGGATTTCTTCTCCAATAGGAGATTCCTTTGGAACACTCAGACAAACAAGTGCCAGAGTTGCAATTACAAATCTAGACAATGTTGTAAGAACACTCCAGCTACGATGAGAGAAGTTTTGCTTTGAGGAGGGCTTTAATGGTGAGGACAAGCATCTAAAGTTGCAGCTGCAAGTTAAAAAAGAAACTATCTCCACTACAAATTAACCATCTTTGTCCCAAACTGACTCTGGTGTGTTTCATTTCAGAAGCTCCAAAACTATAACTATGGATTTCCAGATTTGATGCAAGTCAGCTCTTCAAAAAAGGAGACATAAGTATCCATGAGATGCATTCTGTATTGGCGGAGCATGGACGAGAATTCTTGTATCGCAGATCTGACCTGTGACTCTTTCTGTGCATAACCATTGGCTCTCATCAGCTAAGTGCAGAAAAGCACAAGGAAAGCAGCCTCAGACCAGCTTCCCATGCTACCTGCGAGTTCCACTCAAATGCACCAGGGTTTGAAGTCAGTGCCACAATCCCGACACAAACGACTCTTGTGCTCCCTGGGATGCGTACCTGGGAGAGGGCCTTAAACACTGCTTTGTAAACTGGTCCCATGCTTGCTCCGCTGGTCTCAGCTGCTTGCTGGATATTGTGCAGCCATTTCCTCCTGGCTAAGCTTTGCAGGCACTCCACGTGACTTTGTTCCACGCTTGTAGTCAGAAATTCCACCAAATTCTCAATAGCTTCATCCTCATCACCAGTGAACTCAGAAGCAACTAACTCAAGGAAAGTCTGGAATGCCTTTGGGGATAACTTCCCCACTCTGCTGAGCTGTGGGTAACAGGAGCAAAGGTGTTTCTTTGCTAGTAGAAGAAAGAGAAAATAAGACAGGGACAGTCTATTTGAATAAAATATTCTGCTTTTCTTGTGCAAAATATGAATCAAGCCCTAAACTGGATTTGGATGGAGTGCTCCAGTCCATCATTCTGGGTTTCTTGGAGCTATCTCCTAAATGTAAGTTGTCATCATGACAGGTAATCTCCAGCTTCCAGACTGGATGCACCTTTTCCTCTAGATGGCTGCGTTCTCACCTACTGAGAAAGAAACCTGCAAGGCATTGCTTCAATGCCCCTTTTGTACCTCTGCAACATACCTAAGCAATAAATGTCAATGGAAAATAGGACAGCTACTTGGAGTTATCAAAAATCAGCAGCATCTTCACATCAGAACCAAATTTTATGGACACTTGAGGGGCTGGTGGGACTGGGCTGCAAGTAGGCATTCCGCATAGTAGTAGTTGAGACCTTATAGAAAAAAATATTCATCAATCCCATTAAAAATGTGAAGGCCAGAGTCTACAGATGATTTCACAGATCATTCATATTCCTGGATTTTCCGTTATATACCATACTTGCAGACATCATGTTTTTCTTTTGAGGCCTTCCAAAGTAACTATTACTCTTAATTACCCTTTAGGTGCCTTTGATGAATTATTGAAATAACATTTGTATTGTTCTAAATCTCATAAATGAAGAGCAAAGAAAATGAAAGCTCTATTGAAGTCATACAGAGGTCAGGACAACAGTGCTCTGGACTCACCTGTACCGCACCAAGGGATGTAGGTGTGGAGCAAGGGAGTTTTTATAAGAAGTACAGGGTTTAGAAGAATAAATGAGTATGAAGAACACCTAAAACAGTGAAGTGCTGCCTGTTAGCTCTTAGGGGAGTGAAGGAGTAAAGATCATTGCACGGAGGCTGCTCCTTCCCATCTTGCACACGGCCGGGGAGTGGAGCCGTGCCCCAGTCCCCTTTTTCATGTCCTAGAGATTGCAGCTGGGCTGGTCCAAATACGGGCAAATAAGCTGCAGTAGAAAGTTCTGGCAGAGCTTTCTTTTGCTTGGAGGAATGACGAACGCCACAAGGGTCAAACTGTGATTCTCAAGAATCCCTTTCCTGTATCTACTCACTGTAGTTCCCAAACTTCCAATTTGCCCGGAGGTCCTGAAGACAAATGGGACTCAGAGTTGTAACCCTAACAGACTGAGCATGAAAATGTAAGTTTACCGCATCGGTGTCTATTCAGATGTTACTTAAGTCAGCAGCCGGTGTAAGAGAGGAGTTCAAGCCCTGTAGCAGCCCTTGCAGGGCCGACGCTGCTCCCCACGCCGCAGCTCTGGGCTCACGGGGGAGCTCTTGCACAGGCTTCCGAAGATGCAGGCAGCTTCCCGGCTTTGGAAACCCGGGATTCACCGGGTGCTCTGCCCGAGCTGTGCTTGCCTGATCATGCTCTTGGCAGTGCCTCTCCTGAGCACTGCCATGACTAACACTTTCATATATTTTTTTTTTTTTTTCTGCATCCTGATTTCAAATCCTGTTGGACCTGAAGAAGTAAAGAAAAGGAAAGAGCGCGATATGTCAAGCCACTTCCTGCTAGTAAACGAAGCAAGCAAAGATATATAGGTAGAAGTGTGACTTTGCTGTTAAGCAGGGAGTATTTTGTGATCGATACCTACAGTGGGCTATAAGGAACACTGCAATGGAAAATGCTTTGATTGATGATGCACAGGAACAGGCAGGGAGCTGCCCTGATTGCCTCCCAGTGCACCCAAGACGCTGACGTTTATGGGAGCTGAGAGCCTCCTCCTTCCCCTGCAGAAGTCAGGGGGCATTTTATCACTCATTTTAGCTGTAGAAGTAGCAAGTAGTGACTGGCCCCAATCATGGTGGAGCTGACTGTTAATGCTGTCTTATCCTGCCCATCATCTAAAGAACATTCAATATTTTTAATTTAATTTCTGGTTTTCTGACAGAATTAGGATGGAGAATTTTTTGATGGTATAAAAATGTTTGGATTTTCACCTCCACTTTCTCCTCTCTTTGAAGAAAGAGAGGAAGAAGGAAATACATATGAAGTTAAACATGGCATGATCGGTTCCTTCATTACTGAGCTATAGCATAACAAATTATTTCCCCCATTATATCTGTAATGTTACACTTTTCACTTACAAGGAAAATCAAATCAAATCAAATAGCCACTTTTCACTCTGTTTTCATCCAGGAGGAGTGCAATGTCTGTGAACCTTTCCCTCAAACCTGCTTGTTCCATGAGGTCTTTGAGAGGTTAGGTTGAAGCTGCTAGAAATAGTTTTATGTTGCTTGTAGGTGGTATTGATTTTGCTACGCTATCTTTCTATTTATTTGTCCTTTAGTTTATGAGCCCTTCACGGAAGGGACTATGTCCTTCCATATTTCTGTAGTGTGTCCTGGCATGCTTTGAATACAAGAGAGCTGTGAACTGCCAGTCTCTTCTGTGGCTGTGCAGCCTGGAGACAATTAACTGTAACATGCCGGTGCGCTCCCCACCCCACCAGCTGCCTCAAATGAGCTAAAGGATAAAGACATTTTGGTGTTTGCCAAAATGAGCCGTTTTCAGTAATGTGTGGCAGAACAAGCAACATGAAGATACGTGTGGAGATGAATAAACCAGTCCTCTCCACCCAAGCGCACATGTAGACATGTTCTTAATTGTTAATACGGTATTTCAGAGCACCTAATGCCCACAGGTTAATATGTGTGAGGCTGCCAGACAGGTCCAGGTGAAGCACTTCTGTCTGACCCAAGTCTATTCTGTCAAGGACCAAATTTGCTAAGTTTATTTGGAGAAATGAACCAACAGAGAAGTGAGACTTGAAGTTGCTATCTAATTCATGAGAGCTGCGTGACAGTGTGGGTTACTAAAGGCCATTTGAGACCCATAAGGAAAGCTGGTGTTCTCTCCTATGCAGATACATTCCTGCAGATAGCACAGTAAAATGTATCTATTAAAAATAGCTGTATAACACAGACAGGCTAGACTAGAAGTGCAAAAATTGTTCTCAGGCTTTACGTGTGTTTTTCGCTGCCTTATTATAAGTATACATCGCGTCTTACAGCTGAAATAAGTTTTCAACACATCACAATGTCATGAAAGCATTGGGCTACCTCTCTGACTGGGAATCTGTCGCAGGGGAGTCTCGCACATGAGGAGGGGATGGAGCTATGCATTAACAAGTAGGTCTGGATAACAGTTCCTTTTCATTTTATGCATCATACCTTGTATGCTTATGACTGCTTGCAAAAACAAATGTCATTGAATGGTTCAAGGCCTACTGTGTTGACATTGTTCTCTCAGAGCAGAGCTGTCTCCTTACCCTTCCTCAAGGCCTCTCTTTCCATCCCTTCCTTGAATGTGCTTAGAACAGCATCCACCTCTTCCAGGTCCAGAAACCCAGATGCATTGTTGTCCCACTTTTCGAACAGTGCCTCCAGAAGCAGTTTCCGTTGGGCCAAGCGAGAGATGTGGTGAACCTACAACAGAGGAACAGCTGGCCTTTGATAATTCCTGGACACCGATGCTCAGTGTCTATGCAAGTATGGAAACTGCAGTGGTATGCTGATCACATAATTCCTATGGGCCAGGCCAAATCTGTACATACACAGCTCAGACCTGGAGATGAATCGTTAAACCTAGGAGATTATTTGGAAACACTAAGCACAGCCGACAGTTCAGTTTTACCAGGCAGAGTCAGCACTGCAGAGGGTTATTTCCCAGTGAACAAATGAAGTGTGTGCTGGATCTAAGGTGAGACCAACTCAGGTTAGTGGAAGTTTCCCAGAATACAAATGTCTTCCTAGCAAGAACTAACCACAGCCTTGTTAGTAACACCGAAGATTTGACAGTTTGTTATTTTGCTGGTGCTGCCCTGAAGTGTGTGGGCTCGAAGAAAATGCATGTATAATTTGTCCTTTAAACCCAGTCTTTGCACAGCATACAGTGCTAAATGGCTAGAATGGAATTCTCTCAAAGGCCAAAATACTGGCAGTGTGTGTTGTGTTCAGTGTGAGGACAGTAGAGCCGTCAGATCCAGTATCTCATCCAAATTAGGTCAGCAGCACAGAAGGAAACTAGAAAGAGATGTGAGGAAAAGGCAGCTAGAGAAGCTCCTATGGACAGACCCACCATGAAACGTATCTGTACTCTGAAGTGATATGGGGCACCCTGATATATGTGTGAGGGTATTGCTGAAGGGGATTATATTTTTTTCAACACATGCCAAGAACACCTTGTAACTTAAACACAAAGAAGCATGTGCACATTCACATACAGCCATGCACATAGCAAAACCAAACACACTTGTTTTAAAATCCTCCCCGAAACATCCACAACCTCATATGAACATGCCAGTGCAGTAGGTCAGAGATCAGGTTCTTGGCTATTATAAAGGTGAATAAGCAGAATGGAATGTTTGAGCTCTTTCACAATTGACTGTCAACCTGCTGTCTCACTGAGTCCGGCTCTAGAACAGACAGACAACCTCTTACAGGATGAGCTGTCATCACTTCTAGAGCTAAGGGCTAGGGAGGGAGGATCCGTATGAAAACAAAGGGGTAAAAGGTCTCTTGAAGGAATAGACAATGCAAGGCTGGAAGTGAATAGCTCTGCCAGCATGAGATTAAAAGTTGACTTTGTCAGTGTCTGTAGGCATTTGCTTGTTTTTTGTTTGGACATGGGCTCAGAAAAACTTATCAATATTTACTTTTTCTAGTTGTTCCATTTTTTCCTCTTCTGTCTGTTTGTATTCTTCTTTGATAAATGCAATAAGCCTCTTCAGAGTAGGCAGAGAAATGTCTTCACCAACAAATGTCTCCATGAGCTGTACAAACTGTGGCAGGTTGAGGCAGCTTTCATCAAAGGCACTCCTAGTACAAGAAGCCCAACGGTTCTGAATCTCTGCCATGATGGGATGTAAGTCTGAAAGGCAGAAAGCACAGTGTGTCACAGGAAGCCAAATACTGCCCTAAAGCTGGCAGATATCAACGCAGTCCTGAATCCTGCACTTCCTATCCAGTGAAATTATGGCTGAATACAGACTGACTCCATGCTGACTAAAGGCCTTAATCTGCTTATACTTTTCTAATAGTAACTCTTCAGATTTATGCTCCAGGCTAGCATGGATGCTATCATACAACCAAGTCATATCCCTGAATACAGGTGAGCTGAAATTACTGTTACACAGCAAGTGGCCTTCTGAGACAAAGACTACGCTGCTCTTATCTTGAAGTCAGCTTCAGGAATTAGTGTTTGTATTCTTGCCAAAACTTTCAGCTCACAGCACTGGCATGTCTGCAGACACTGCCAGCCACTGTGTGCCCAAGTGAACACACAACTTTGTGACCAAATACCTGGAAATCTAGTGTTCTCACATTTCCAGTCCTCTGGAATTCTCTCTCCATAGCTGCTATACCTGCAACTTAGGTCAGCAGTCAGAAGGTCACCTGATGAAAGATAAAATATACCTTGTAATGATGTATGCTTTTAAAAAATACACAAGATACAGCTTTTATAGAAGCCTTTAAATACATATTCCAAGCTACAGTTTCTAAAACAGATGAAAAGAGCTGACATGAGCAGTCACCTGACCGTGGCACTTCAAACTCCTGGCTAGCTTCAGCTGGAGAATCCTGTCTGTCTGAGTGTGCTGGACCTGCAGTTTTAAAAATAAATCTTCCATGAACCAGAGCTTACTAGTCTGAGCACCCTTCTGATTAATATGTAAAATCTACCTCTGTGTTTCTGGAGTTACCCTTGTTATCAGTAGCTATTTATTTTTACTGTCTGGAAATACTGCTTCCTGAAATTCACCTGGTGAATGTTGCATTTCTTAAGCCCAGATACAAATATCCATTTTATCAAGAGCAATAAGATAACTTTTTTCCAAGATAGGTTCAAAATTATATTCAGACTTCTTGTTTCCATCCACCTTTCTCTCAAAGAGCATCGTACCATCACACCATTGTTTCTGCAAGGACAGGGTGGGAATCTGCTCTGAAGATGGAAGTACTGCATGCCCCAACCAACGCAGGATGTGCGCATCCAGGGACTGGCTGAATGACAGGTTAGTGCTGAGTGCTGGAAGTTAACCACAGAAGGCTGTAGGTACCAATGGGCTGTATCATCAACTTTACAGCCCTTTATGTAATAAGTCTGTCACTAGACTGCTCTGGCAGTGTAGACCCAGTCCTTGCAGTGTTTTAAACAAGGAAGTTCATCCTTCTAGTATGTTTAAGAAAGTACCTCTCATGAAACACACAGTTGCCCGACCACAGCCTTCCTAGAACAAGGGCCTTTGTACACAATTAAGTATGATGTTCCTTTAGAAACACAGTGGGAGCTTAAAATAAAAGGTTCCTGATATATGATCCCATAAGATATCTCCCTATGGGCAATCACAGTCTAAAAATTATTAAAAGTCATTTCTATATTTAACGTGCTCAGGCTCCTGTCTTGCTACCAATATTACAGAGTGAAACAGAACATAAAGTTTCTCCTTATTATAAAAATGTTGCTGCTTCAGGAAGTCCCTACTTGAATTAAAGTGTCTGCTCAGTGCCTGGAATACAGATCACCAGCAAAGTGACTCACCTGCTGTCCTGTGAGAGGAACATACTCTGAAACCTCGGCAGAAAAAAACATGTTGAGAAGACAGTGAAGCTTATTGTCTTGTGTGTTCAGAAATCACTCACGTGCTTTCAATAGTTTTGAAATGGATTAAAACCACACCTATAGTTAAACCAGTCCACATGTATATGTTGAAAAAGATTAAGGTCTGCCAGAATAAAGGAGAATGCTTTACCTTTACCTTTGTCTTGCAGAAGGTCCTCATCCTGCAGTCTTGTCTCTGGGCTTGTCTGTTGGCCAAACTGGCTGCCATGCTGCCTAGAAAAACTCTCTTTTCCTGCAGGAGTTTCTTTCACAACCTCTGCAACTGGAGCATCCTGTTTTGAAGTAATGATGTCCATGTCTGCCACAGCTTCTGAGGTCATGGTTGTAGCTTCAGGTGTTGTGTTGGTTGCTTCTGCAATCCAGTTGTCCTTCTCCTGACTAACTTGCCCTTCTGAGCCAGGTTCTGTGTCGGAGATATGATAACCTTCTTCCCTATTTGTTTCTGTATCAGGCTCTCTACCCAGGCTAAATTCCTCTTCCTCCACCTGTTTTTCAGATCCAGGTTCTCCACCTTTACTCAGACTGTACCCAGTAGAGGCTGATCCTGGGAAAGCTTCCTCCTGTTTGTCTGCACTTGCGGACTCAGTTTGCCTCTCAGTTTTGATGTCTTCATGGAACCTGGATTTCTCACTATATATTGTATCTCCATCCAAATCACGAGCTTCAAAATCAGTGCTTCTCACCGCTGACACAGTGTCCTTACCTTCCTTTCTCACTTCAGCATCACTTGATTCTGCTGCTTGGATTTCTTCCTTAGAAATTCCTCCAGTCTCAGCTTCACTTGTGCCCATTTGTTCAAACAGACCTTCTCTGACTCTAGTTCTCATCCTGTATGTGGCTTGTCTATTATCATCTACAGCTTCATACGCTAAAATCTCTCCCTCAGAAATTCCTGTTTGAGACAAGACTAACTTTTCACTGAGTTCCTCACAAACTTCCTGGCTATCAAGGCCTCCCCATAAATCTGCAAGCTCAATCTCTTGCAGCTCAATTATTGGCCCTAGAATAGAAAAAAATTTTGGTAAGTTGATAGTATGCATTGGTTTTATGGTCTCTAGTATTGTATAAGAAAATCTGAAGAAAAAGAAAAAAGGTATTCCCAAGCAAATATAAACTATCAGAAAGTACCTTCTGCAAACATGCATCTCAGAAACACAAAACTTCAGAATAATGTCTTTGCCTGCAGAGAACTGCACTTGTTATTGTGTATTACACCATATTTCTTTTGAAATAAATGTTTCATAATTCTCCATACTAAGAAAGCAAGCTGTAATTTGCCTTGCATTTGATCTTAGCAATTAATTAATGTCCAATATCTTTAAAATATTTTACTTCCATGTAGATTATTCTCTGTGTTTTTTCTTTATCCTTCCACGTTCATGAAGAAATTTTAGTGTAAACACGAAATAAACTTCTAATATTGCCCAGTTAGAAAGAACAATTGTTTCAGGAAAAGCAGTTTCTTTAATGCTACTTCTAAAAAGTACTTCAGAATTTTGTAGGAAGGAAAAGTTTTGGATGCTGAAGTCTTTCTGAACATTGCATCACAGTTTGCAAAACACGTTTGCAAATTATGGTGTATAGGTCACAGCATTCATTTGGGTCTTTTTTAGGCTCTGTCCATTTTTGGTAACACTTACGAAACATATAGTAACTACAGCACCTCATGTGACCTCCTAATGTTTTAACCACAGTTGAAACATCCCATATACTTACACTGTCTTGGGTTACAGAATCCCCTCTTAGCAATCACCGGGCTTCTGTCATAGAAGTCTACCAGTAGGGCGAGTATTTTTTGTCTGTCTAAGAGCCCAACCTAGACAAAAAGATTACAATTACTGTATTTTGTTTCTGGTTCTTGGGACTTACATCAACATTTGCAGCACTACAAAGGCACTGTTAGCTAAGAATTAATTGTGACTGAAAATGATCCATTACCAGAACATCAGTAGAAATTTCAAAGAAGTGAATTGATTTCATAGGGGCAAAAATTTCTTCTCTGGGCTTAGCTGGAACTCCTCATACATACTACTTTGTAGGCACATCCTCTTGCATATTCTTGACAAATTACAGTTGGATGATTGTAACCACTTCTGCCAAAGACGTTCTTCATGTAAAGATCAAAGTTTCAACATTTCACACTTTCAGGACAGATACTGATTGCCTGACAGTACTATGGAAGAATTTTCACATATTATGGGCTGTGCTGTATTATGTTAGTGACTGCACGTTGTAGTTTGGTTTTGTGCCCCCTCATTTCCTTTGAAGCATTATGTATTGGCAACTGCCTGGGAAAACAATTAGTCCAAAAACCTGAGCTATTATGACAACCTTCCTAATTTCCTTTAAAAATGTATATGCATTTGACCACAGAGGTGAGAGAGATATCCGCAGTTCCAGTGCAGAGGAACACACAGAGTTTATTAAGTCCTTGTTGCTCAGGGTGAATGTATACGGACAATAAAACCAGGAAAAGACAATGAAATAGGCCATTTCCAATCAGGAAATTGTGAGTTTAAAAAGTAAAGCAAATCTAAACGATTGCAAGTTTTCCACTTTATGATGAATTCCTGTTGTCATTATTTAAGTCCTGTCACCTTTGTAATCTCCCTCCCATTTCTGAAATATAGTAGTTAATTAGAGAACAGATTTACTTAAGTTCATTATTTGTAGCAAGTAGCTTTCCAACTGAATTACTGATTTCCTTTTCACATTTTGCTTTTAAAGACCGCAAAATGTAAAATTCACCGAGCTTTTAATTCTTTGTGACCTTTTCCTGCCCTTAGGCTGAAGAAATAAGTGAAGAAGTTTGCTGCTCTTTTCTGGAAATGAGCTCAAGATGACTGTATTGTTTATAATCTAAAACTGTAATTAATGGCATCAGTGTTTAGGAACTGAGGATTTGAAAACAACTGAGAGACACCCATGACTTAGCGGAGAATTGCCTCCCACAGAAGCTAATACTGAAAACTAAGTGAATAAATCACATTTTCTGTTACTACAACACCTTTCCTTTAAATGGAATTGAAAGCTTTTTGCAAATTCTGAGAAAAGGATCAGAACCGAAATGTAACCTGTTGTCTAGTCCAGTTTTAGTGTTTCAGACTCCTGTAACTTAATTCCTG